GGATGGATGGATGGATGGATGGATGGATGGATGGATGGATGGATGGAAGTGAACTTCATAAAAGGTTGGTATTTATTTTGAGACCACCTGATCAGGTCTAAGAAGGCGTCGGCGGGGCTGACTTGTTCGATGGTCCTCTGCTTTCCGAACTCCTCCTTGGAGCCTTTTCCTGGGTGGATTATGAGGACAATGAGGATCCCGATGAAGACGGCGATCACCGTGGTGGTCATGTAGTAAATCACGGCTCTCACACCCATCTTTCCTGAGGCCTTGCTGTCCAAAGCTGCCATCCCTGATGAAGAGTAAATTATTTATTTAAATTTTCATTTGAGATTCTTCACAGGAAGACTTTTTGTTGTCGTGTATTTCTAAGTAATCTGCTTATTTCATCTTCGTGTTTTCACCATGAGCTTGAAACAACAGCTGCTAAACTGCTCGCTCCTCTTTAGGATCTTTCAGTCTGCGTTGCCTCAGACAAATAAATCCTCCCTCAGTTCTTCTCCACTGTTTAACTTATCCTCACAAGAATATCACGCAACAAAAAACATTTAGGTTTACTTCATTCTGTTATCACCTACAAACATTCACCATTCAAATCCTTCAGCGACGTTCTGCTTGTTTACAGCTGACTCTTCTGAATTAACATTCCTTCCACAAGAATCTTTTCATGACAGGATCATTCTACTACAGGAATCTTTAACAAATTCTGTCCCCAGGACAATTTTCCTTCTTAAACTGAGTTGTCTGAGCTCAACACCTTGAGGCCTGCAGACCCAGAAGGTCTGGCTTTAAGGAAGCATCGTGGATGTATTGGCAGATTTTTTTGAAGCAACATAAAAGTTTTCAAATGTTTTCTTTCATTTCTTTAAATAAACAACAACCTGAATGCATTTATCTTAAAGCAAATGATGCATTTTCTGTTAAACTCTCATTGTTTGACACAACTAAACCAGAACCTGAAGTTTACCAGAGAAATGTTCTGATTTCCGCTCAGAAACGTTTCACCTGTGATCAGACTGGACACAAGCAGAGGCAGAACCAGCATCTGGAGCATCCTCATCAGAACCTCCCCAGGAAACGAGAAGTACTTCACCTCCCGGTACGTCATCTTGTACGGCCGCAGAGCGAAGCCCAGGATGACTCCTGCAGAGAAAACAGCCATGATGATTCTCTGTCGGATCAGAGTCTGACCTGACAGTTGTCTGAGACCCACCAGCGACCACGGCTCCGACCGTGAAGAGGACGAAGGCGTTCTTCTTCAGGAAGGCCTGGACGTTCTCCTTGGAGATCTCCTCCACTTTCCTCTTGGCCTTCATGGTCCGGATGTGGATTCCCTCTCTGAGGCGCTGCATCCTGTCAGAAAACAGTTTGTTTATAAGAAAACTCACCGATTATTTAATTAAAGGCAGCACGGTGGAGCAGATGGTAGAGCTGCCGCTTCTCAGTGAGCAGGTCGCAGGTTCAAGTCGCGGCCCAGGACCCTTCTGGGTGGAGTTTGCATGTTCTCTCCGTGCATGCGTGGGTTTTCTCCGGGTGCTCCAGTTTTCTCCCACAGACCAAAAACATGCATGTTAGACTGATTGGTAACTCTAAATTGTCCCTATGTGTGAGTGAGAGAGTGAATGGTTGTTTGTCTCGTTTGTCTCTATGTGTCCTGTGATGGACTGGAGTCCTGTCCAGGGAGTCCGCCTCTCGCACAGTGATAGCTGGCAGGGATGGAGTGGGACTCATTTTCAGCCCTGGAGTTTTATGCCTCAGACTGGCCCACTTTAGATCACGACCTATTATTATTAAAATCATGTAATTATAACCTTACATCTTGGGGTCTTGTTCACGAATCAGGGAAAAATGGAGCGTGAGATCAATAGGTGGATAGGTGCAGCGTCTGCAGTGAAGCGGGCGCTGTACAGGTCTGGCGTGGTGAAGAGAGAGCTGAGACAAAAGGCGAAGCTCTCAATTTACTGATTGATCTACGTTCCTACCCTCATCTATGGTCATGAGCTTTGGGTTGTGACTGAAAGAACGAGATCTCGGATACAAGCGGCCGAAATGAGTTTTCTCCGCAGGGTGTTTGGGCTCTCCCTTAGAGATAGGGTGAGAAGCTCGGTCATCCGGGAGGGACTCAGAGTAGATCCGCAGCTTCTCCACCTCGAGAGGAGCCAGTTGAGGTGGCTGCAGAGTGGAGATCTGACATGCTGCAGGAGGAAGCTTCTCCTGTAGCTGTAGGCTGCACACAGGTGCAGCAGGTGCTAAATAATTGAAAATAATTTATTTAAAATGAAAATTCCATGCCAATCATGTGGCTCATCCATCAAGCAGCCAGTTGTGTGTCATGTCCAATGTTACTTTGAAAAACCGCGATAGAGCGAGTCCGCGAAAAACAAATTGCAAATTAGCGAGGGACTACTGTATTTTAACGGTTATTTAACATCTAGTTTTACCTACATAAGTAAACACTTCATTCAGTAACTATTTTAGAATTAATGGCACAACAAGAAGTAGCCTCACCAACAGCTCTCCTTGTGTGAATAGAGCATGCGCCGCTTCTCTCACACATGATGTGTGAGAGAAGAGAGGTGACTAGGATGTGTGACACATCCTAGTCAGAGTCTAAAAAACAGTGTAGCCTAAGTTAACTTTTAGGGAGGAAAAAACCACTAACTAATATGAGATGATAATAATAATCACTCCTTCTTACCAATGGCCTAGCATAAAGCAATATGATCATCATCCATTGCATTTATTAGTAGCTTAAAATACCTAATTAAAACTTGAGTAGTGGGCTAGTTCTACTGTAACCTTACCTAGGGTCAAGCGACAAACATGTAGCATTAACACAATATGAACAACATTCAGGAATTGTTTATAAAAGAACATTATCAAATATTTTATGAACGGTAAGATAGCTCCACCCACGAGGAAATGTAACCCAGGGTGAGCTAAGCTCAAGTTAGATCCCAAGGCAATTTAGAAAACTAATTACAACACCTTAAATAAAAACATCCATCCATCCATTAACTTCCACTTATTCCGAAGTCGGGTCGCGGGGGCAGCATCTTGAGCAGGAAGGCCCAGACATCTCTTTCCACAGCCACCTCTTCCAGCTTGTCTAGGAGGATTCCAAGGCAGTCCCAGGCCAGGCAACCAAGAGAGACATAGTCTCTCCAGCATGTCCTGGGTCTTCCCCGAGGTCTCCTCCCAGTAGGACATGCCCAAAGCACATCTCTAGGGAGGCGCCCAGGGGGCATCCTTACCAGATGCCAGAACCACCTCAACTGGCTCCTCTCGATGTGGAGGAGAAGCGGTTCTACTCAGAGTCTCTCCAGAAAAACTGAACTTCTCACCCTATCTCTAAGGGAGAGTCCAGCTACCCTGTGGAGAAAACTCATTTCAACCACCTGTATCCGCAATCTCATTTTTTTTGGTCACTACCCAGAGCTTGTGACCACAGGTGAGGGTAGGAAAGTAGATCGACCGGTAAACAGAGAGCTTTGCCTTACAGCTCAGCTCTCTCTTCACCACAACGGACCGGTACAGAGTCCGCAATACTGCAGATGCTGCATCAATCCGTCTGTCAATCTCACACTCCATTCTTCCCTCACTTGTGAATGTAGTGAATCTGATCTGACCCTGATCTGACCCTGATGACCTCAAATCTAACAGATGGACAGAGACTGTTATTTCATTGATCTGAATACAGTTTGAGCCATCTGGTGACTTTCTTTCTTGAAGATTCAAGTGAAAAGAACACTCTCTTTTTATAATCATCACTGTTTTACAAATGTTTGATAATCAAATTGTGTTGGTTCACTCAATGTTACAGGTTGAAGAGAACTACTCATTTTTATTTTACATAATGTAGTGAACTAGATGGCCTGATGATCTGACCCCCATCTGACCCTGATGACCTCAAATCTACCAGATGGACAGAGACTGTTATTTTCATTGATTTGAATAAGTCTGAGCCATCTGATGAACTTTCTTTCTTGAATTAATCAAGCAGAAAAGACAATCCTCTATAATCATTACTGTCTTACAAATGTTTTGATAATCAAATTGTGTTAGTTCACTCAATGCTTTACAGGTTGAAAAGAACTACTCATTTTTATTTTACATAAACAGTAAGTAATGATTTTTATTCCTCATTCAAACAAGAAATCACCTGAATATGCATTTCTTGATTTTCTGTCTGAAATGAGTCAAGTCGTAAGTGTGTGAAAGTTGAAGCTTCGGTCAACTAAATGTTTACTGAAGAAGAAATGTCATGTTTAAACTTTTTCAGAAGATTACCAAGAGTTGGCTCCACGAAGTCTGCTTTTTGCAATAATCTCTCTGTCAGTTGTTAAACAAATTTCATTCTCTGACCTCGACTTTTGATAAACACCTTACGTCAAAACCACTCCTCTTTCTGGTCCATCCACGAATCAGAAAGCTCTGAAGTAAACTCGGAAGTAAACTCATTTAAAATGTGACAACTTCCCGGTTCTGTTAGAGAGTTGGAATAGAAGAGAATGGAAAAGATTCCGAGAATGAAAAAGTTCTGAAGGAGTTCAGAAGAAAACTAGAGTTATGGAGAGTTTTGGAGAAAGAGTCTGAGAGCTGCTGACAATGAAGAGTCAGAGTTACTAGAATCCAGAGACGTTTTGGGATTATAATTCTGTTTTGAGCTAACCACGCACGACTCTCCAAGGATTTTAGCTGTTCTCAACGGAGACGCTGATATCAGTTGAAAAGGATTCTTACTGAGGTGATCGATCGTCAACAAGGTAACGGTTTCTTCTTCGACTAAAGTGTACCTGGGACAAGCTGAGATACCTGACGGAGCGTGCAATTTCTGGTTAAACAGATTAAATTCCCTCACATATTCCTCTGTAAGATAAATCTCAATTTCCTCTTAAACTCACCTCTCTCTCATAAATCAGTACAGATATTTTTAGAAATATCTGAAGCAAAGTCCTCAAATCACCGCCGAGTGATTTGAAGTTCATTATTTGTGAAACTGTCTGTTATTATTTTCATATTTTGCCAAATTAATGTAAATGTTTGATGTTAAACTTTGATTCTGAAAATAAATGACTCCATTCATTTGATGGGTCAAAGGTAATAACGTCTCTCGTTACATTTCTGTTAAATTCAATGCACGGCATTACACAGTCAGAAAAATGAAGAACTCGTGAATATTGTATGCATATATATTTCATATATTTGTCATACAACAAGTGACACGTACCCACGTGACTCACTACTAACTGGTGGCTCGTAACGGTTCATGAATGACTGTTAATTCGTGTAAGATTGATTTTTTAAATGTTGGCAAGGTTGTACAATAACAGTTTATCAGCTGTGCTGAAACCGTGCGTCTTTACGCAGCGCAATTGGAGCTGCGCGCTTGTGTTACGCTGGCAATGTTTTAAAAGCTGAAATTGTGTCATTGAGTCTTTATAAAGCTGAATTGTACGTCTGTATGTGTAACATAAGCTGGCTTTGAGCTGTGGAAACGCTTTATTCTGTTTAAACTGTGTTCCAGACGCTGTTCTGGTCCGGTTCGGTTCTGTGGTTCCGACTCGGTTCTGGAACAGTTCGAACGAGTTGTTAAATAGCTAGAAAGACGTTTTGTCACGGAGCGCCGTTCTCTGTGCAGCTCAGGGGGTTGATTCGTTACATTTTTAGCAGAGAAAGTGCATTTTGATGGTTTAAAAGACGAAAAAGTGACGAACTATTTTACGCTAATCTAACTTGCTAGCTGGACAAAACGCTTCCTGATTGGTTGAATTCGCTGTTGTGGAGCGCTCTGATTGGTTGAGAAGGCTGACTGGCGTGGCTACGTCACTTCCTCTCACCCTGCGCTGCTTTGCCATTGGTGATTTCAGTCACGTGACCCGGAAATGAAATTCGTTTTCATAGGGAAATAAAATCTGCTTTTTAAAGCTGAAAAGTAACTTTAAAGTGGTTTTGACACGCTGGTTAAATGCTTCGAAGCTATTTGCTGAAATTTTGCTACGTTAGAGTTTAAAATTCGTCAAAAAACGATGTTTTTAAACAACGCTAGCGATGCTAATTTTAAGCTAAACAGCTAACGACCGGAGCTTAAACTACGCTTAAAATCACTAAATGAAGCTGAAATATTGTTCCAAAAACTCATGTTCAGGCTAAG